TTATGTGTGAACGAAAAGGCGCGCCAGGCGCATTTTTACAACTGACCCATGGCCGCATTGATGCCTCCCTGTGCAGCGACCGTATGAGAACGAGTTGGGAACAATTTCGTTACAACTGCGACTTTAAATCCTTCGGCGAGAAGACCAACGGCAGCTCTTAGGCCAGCACCTCCCGCCCCCACAATTACGGTATCGAAAAAGTGGTCCACTACGAGATATTCTTTTGACGCCGGTTTTTTCTTAGAAGTTTTGGCATTCTGTTTTTCTTGATTGGCTTCTTTTCCAGTGTGCCCATGACGAATGCAAGTAAGTAAGAAAGCAGGACGAGCTCTAGTTATCTAAAGATAATCAACTTGTACACTGATCATCACAAGTTTAGCAATTAATAAGTTATGTCAACCTTATGAAATGTATAGCTGCATTTATAAATAATCGAGTAATTTTTACAGTATTTTTCTTACTTCTAAGAATTCAAGTTAAGATTTATTATAACTTAACAGCGGTTAAATAATATATGTATATTATTACCAAAAAACATAAAATTGCTCAAAATTTATGACAGTTGCATAAATTGCGGACATGAAATGACATTCGCAGCCTTGTTGCTTATACGTACCTGATACAAGTTTAAAAATGGTTTTGCGCAATTGAAAATTTCCATCATTATACTTATATTTATTTACTAATTATATACTTAAAACGTCATTTAAGGGAATAAGTAAAAATGTATAAAAACAAAACATTTGTCAAATTCCAAATAATCATTACTAGATGATCAGTGATGATTGAAATTTATGGTAACTCAAACTTTATTTTGATAAATACTAAAATCTGTAAAGTATTTATAAATGTATAAGTCAAATTATTATTAACTTCCCGTAGGGCAAGTTATAGTAATCGCAAAAAAATCGAAAATGAAAATTTTTATATATCTTTACGTTTCAAAGGTTTCTTAACATTTTGGCATACCTTAGAAAAAATGGATGTATGTGTGTGCGTGTGTGTGTGTATGTAAGTACGTGTGTGTATGTATGTGCGGATACGAATTTTCGTCGACGATTTCGGGAACACGGATCAACCGATTTAAATAATTCAAAAAACATTCGATTCGTATTGATAAGGAGACGTGCTGATTAGTTTTTGGCGCAGGGAGGTCGAGCCGTTCCGAAGATACGGGGCAAAAAGTGCCGAAAACGGTAACTCAGTTTTTAAGAGAACGGAGCGTCCGATTTTAATAATTCAAAAAACATTTTACTTATATTGACAAGGTGAAGAACCGATCAAATTTTCATAAAGGCAGGTCTAGCGGTTTCGGAGATCTAATGAAAAAAGTAAAAAAAAAGTCATTTGGCGGTCAAAAATGATCATTAGACTTATGCACATCAAATTATCAGATATTTTATAGAGATTTTAACAATAAGTATGAATTTGGTATACAGTCCTATGAGTTCCGTACCAATGTTTACGCGTTAGACGGCGACGCGGCGCTTACGCGCATTGATATTTCGTCTTTATGCAGTTAAAGCAGTACGATTGCTTTGAAAAAAAGTTTAGATTTTCCATAATATGTCAAAATAAAGAAAACATTTTTTTTCAAAAAAAAAAAATTAAAAAAAAAAATTTTTTTAAAAAAAAAATTTTTTTCAATAAAAAGTAATTTCTGGTCCAATTTATAGTTTCTCAAAAATCTTATTTTTTCGAAGTAAATTTTTTTCAAAAATGTTAATCGTTTTTAAAAAAAAAATTTGTACGGAAAGTTCCAGCAATTTGCCTTAAGGCACGATGCCTTAATTGCCTTAAGACAGAATTCCACTTACATCTAGTTTTTCAGATAAAGTAATAAGTAACAAAAAATAAATAAAAAGTACACTGGTGGTAAGTTTTTTTGCTGCAATCATCATAAGTTTTCCGATCTTGTGAGGGCCTAGATGAATTTTTCTGCGCGAATTTTATCGATAAGTAAGAATTAAAAAAAACATCAAAATGTTGAATTGAATATTTTGCGAGCAACGAATTGCCGAAGTGCCTAGGTGCTGCGGCGTCCACTGGCTTCGGCACATAAATATTTAAAAAAAAATTAAAACTTATTTTTCAAAATTAAAAATCTTCGAACTATTTAACGCTTACTTATTGAACAAAATTATATCAAATAGATAAGATAGAATAGAATCTAGAGGATAAATAATTCTCTTAGTTCTGGCAATATGAAATCATAAAAAACGAATATAATGAATTATGATACATATTACTATATTGCATAAAATTTTGTAGTGTTCTGCTTACTTTTTCTCATTTTATTCATTTCATTTAAAATATTTAAACAGCGATCAGAAAAATGAAAAACGAAAAGAAGTGCATTAAGGTTTTAAGCCAAATTGCAAGAACCCGCATTCCCGTAAGGAAAATTATTTTTTAAAAAAACTATTCAATTTTTTTTTTAATTTTTAGAAAGAACTGTTTTTATATTATGAAATTTTAAAAAAAAAAAAGAACTTTTTCGTTACGGAAAGTTCCTGCAATTAGCATTAAGGCCCTAATTCGCAGTCTAACGGACAAATATTGGTACGGAATCCATAGAAATATGAACAAAATTTGTTATTATCAAAATTTTTATAAAATATCCTAGAATTCGATGTGCATAGGTCAAATGATCATTGTTGACCGCCAAATAGCATTTGTTTACTTTTTTATTGAATCTACAAAACCGCTAGACCAGCCATGAATTTTGAAAAATTTATTGGTTCTTCATTTCGTCAATACAAATAACGGCTTCGTTATCTAAAAAACAAATTTCCATATTTAACACTTTTTGCCCCGTATCTTCGAAACGGCTGGACCTGACCTTGCTAAAAACTCATATGCACGTCAATACGAACTGAATGTTTTTTGAATTATTGAAATCGGTAGATCCGTGTTCACAAAAAATTGTATCCGCATACACAAAAATATATCAATTTTTAACTTCCCGCAGGGTAAGTTATAGTAATCGCAAAAAATCGAAAATGAAAATTTTTATATATCTTTACGTTTCAGGGGTTTCTGAACATTTTGGCATACCTTAGAAAAAATGGATGTATGTGTGTGTGTGTGTGTGTGTGTGTGTGTGTGCGTGTGTGTATGTATGTGCGGATACAAATTTTCGTCGACGATTTCGGGAACACGGATCAACCGATTTGAATAATTCAAAAAACATTCGATTCGTATTGATAAGGAGACGTGCTGATTAGTTTTTGGCGAAGGCAGGTCTAGCCGTTCCGGAGATACGGGGCAAAAAGTGCCGAAAACGGTAACTCAGTTTTTAAGAGAACGGAGCGTCCGATTTTAATAATTCAAAAAACATTTTACTTGTATTGACAAGGTAAAAAATTGATCATATTTTCATAAAGGCAGGTCTAGCGGTTTCGGAGATCTAACGAAAAAAGTATAAAAAAATGCCATTTGGCGGTCAAAAATGATCATTAGACATATGCACATCAAATTTTCAGATATTTTATAGAGATTTTAACAATAAGTATAAATTTTGTTTATTTTCCTATGGGTTCCGTATCAATGTTTACCCGTTAGACAGCGACGCCGCGCTTACGCGCTTTATATTTTGTCTCTATGCAGTTAAAGCAGCACGATTGCTTTGAAAAACAAGTTCAGATCTTCCAAAATATGTCAAAATAAAGAAAACATTTTTTTTTCAAAACAAAAAAATTTAAAAAAAAATTTTTTTTTTTTAAATTTAAAAAAAAATTTTTTTTTTCAAAAAAAAGTAATTTTTTGTCCAATTTATAGTTTCTCAAAAATCTTATTTTTTCGAAGTAAATTTTTTTCAAAAATGTTAATCGTTTTTAAAAAAAATAATAATTTTTGGTACGGGAAGTTTCAGCAATTTGCCTTAAGGCACGATGCCCTAATTGCCTTAAGACAGAATTCCACTTACAGCTAGTTTCTAAGATATTACAAAATGTTCAGAAACCTTCAAAACGTAAGGATATGCAAAAACTTTCATTTTCGATTTTTTCGCGATTACTACAACCTATTCTACGGGAGGTTAATTATAAATAAGGTAAATAGCATTTGAAATAAAACAAGTTTAGTATTTCAAAGATTGTATATTAAAATAAATTCAGCATTTGACTGACATACATTTCATAAGTACGTGCGAATATCATATACAATACATGAAATTTAACAAAATTTAACATTTCTTCATACTTGCTGTAAATCTTACAAAAAGGATTAATTACAATTCAACAGAGAACGCTTTTCTTAATATATATTTAGTAAAATCTATAAAGCACTTTCCTGGTAGAACAAATAAATTCAATAAGACAATAGCATGTGCCTGTAAGTGGACTTACAATTTATGTTTTATACAACTGTACATTACTAATATACACAACATTTGCTACGCTTCCGAAGATTACATGAAACAAACAGAGAAAATGGCAAAGTACAAGATTTAAACAATATGTAAAATATATTATGTCTTTTAATTTAAAATGAATTTATATATTTTTTTACTATAACTAGTTAATGAATTATATAAATATTTTAAATATTGTTAAGCACTGGTTAATTTTCGTATAACTGCTATGCAAAATACTGTTAGATTTGAATTAATTTTACTGAATCAAATGAAAAAAAGCAAAGAAAACCAGATACTTCAAGTAAACTACACGTAAATAAAGAATGTTTGCATAATATGATATTATTATACTCACAATGTTCTTTTGTGCGAAGTAATTGACAAGTTTTTTGAATACTAAACAGGTATGTAAAATAATATGTATATAATAATTATATGCACATTTCTTAAATAACTGATTAGTTGTCAAAATCACACGAAATGTTAGCTACACAATATTTTAAAATGCTAACTAAATGTCTAAATCACCTCTGGATCGGAAGCTAAGTAGTCATCAAAACAATGTTTTCCTTAATTTACGGTTAAAATTAACATTAATATTACAATTGTTAGAACATACATTTTAATATATTCATCTAACATTAAACTCCATCACGAAAATTTGTAAATATAAACATAATATAACACGATTATAATTTATTGTATACAACTTAACTAAATTAGTTTCTCAAACATTTAATACTAAATACATTATATTATAGTACACATATTGTAAGATAATTTTTTTCAAAAAACAAATTTTGAATGTTAGTTTTGGATAGTTTACACAGATAGTACTTCAAAATATACAAATTCGTATATGTTATTTATGCTATATCACCAATTTATACATAAGCATCTAAAAATTCTTACAGAATTACTGAAACATAAGATAAAATATGTTCAAAAATATGATTGACGTATCACTGGCAGCTTTGTAATATTAATATTGAACGATATGCCAATTGCAATTGCGAAATATATTATAGTACGTTATAATTATAATGAAACTCTTGGTGTATTAAGCAAAGAAAAGATTCCTAACTGATGGCATTTGTAAAAATGGTAATCGAACTTTGGATACATCATAACGCTTACTAATCGTATTTTAATATGAATAATTTATTTGGAACGGTAACATATACAGATAATCATGTTTAGTATTATCCAAATTACTAATTTTGTTTTAAATACTTCTTTCCTATCAGCCTGAAACGTCGACTGGAATCGATGTGGTGAACGTTGGCGTTTCTAGCTCCTCGTGCTTCTTCATTTTCATCATCTGCGAAATGAAAAAGATATTCGGTGAAACAGATATGACACTCGTCTCGAGTGCGAAAGCCCGATAAAAACAATCTCTCTGTAATAAAACAGTAATGAAGCTGAAATCAGTCATCGGCAACCTTTTCACGAAGTATATTTCGTGCTGATTTATAAATGTGTCCGTCAACTTGTGTAGGTGGAAAACTTGTTTGTTTTTTATCAGAAGATCGTTGCAATAAAGTAATTAGATTTCACATTAAGGAACCAATTTTCGGATAAAAAAGTTAAGAAACAATGTTATCATAAATGCAACAAATTGTTTCACTTATGATAACACACGCGTGAAGTCGAACTAATGTATCTAATCCGACGTTTGTGCCATTTGGAGGTTAGGTTTTAGAAGTACAGATGACCTCCGCATAACACAGTACTCATATAACACAGATTTGCCCTAGCACGGTTTAAAAATTTAAACTATCCCCATTATAACACGACACTTTTAAAGCACGCTCTAACACGGTTTGAGAATTAAGAAAACCATAATAAAATGAAAAATATAGTAAAACCTATGAAAAACAAACTTTATTTAATCTAAAATTATAAAAATCGCCGTACAATAGCTTTATAAATGTGATGAAACTAATGCAAAATTTAACTCATTTGATTTTTAATATTTAATAATATTTTTTCAAAAAAAATTCTAGAATTTTCCGAACAATCAGTGAATTAGTCTTAAACAAAGAATTAAATGACCATAACATTTTAATAAAAATAACTTTGTATGTGGTAAATATATAAATATCTTTTCGTTAAAAGCAACTATTCGCAAATATTTTTTTTTTGCAAAAAAATTTGCACGGATCTGGAGGTAGTACAGAAAACTGCTCAGAGAATGAGCATATCATGCAAAAAAAGATCGTGTTTGATGATAGCACTTACTTGTTAATTATGACAAAAAATATATATATAATTTATGTAATTCAAATTAATAAATATAACAATATTTATTATAAAATCATGATATAAAGCACGTTTTTTAGATTTCTTGGAACGTAACCCCTCGTTTTGTAGTTATTTGTCCCGTATAACACGGATTCGTATAACACGCCAGTTTTTTTTGGAACGTAACTACCGTGATATACGGGGGTTACCTGTAAATACATCTACCCCGCGTTTTACATGATCTATGCTAAATCAATATCTCTATAAAAAGCTCTTTTTAATATGATGAATAACAAACATATTGAACAAAAAATAAATATTAACATATTTAATGTCAAACACATTTAATTTTAATATCAAAAACATTTAATGAATAATAAGAATATTAATTTATTTTAGTAATAAAACAAAACCCTCACGTACGATTTTTGCTGTAAATTCACTATGTTCGTTTTTATCGATATCGGATAGACTAATTTTCTTATCATTACTCTATTTTTTCAATAATTAGATAAGTATTAAAAAAATTAGTGATTTTCATCTTTTGATATTGTCAAACTATATTTTTGTAAATTATAAATTTTGAAAAAAAAATTATGTTATTTGCTCACCTTGAATAAATTATGTAACTCTTCAACTATATATATAAACACTAATTAGAAACAAATTTGAAAAACAATGATGCTCTTTGTATTGGTATTGCAAAATTGATAGCTCAAACATACATTAAATTTAGTTTTGATCATAAAACGGGAAACGGGAATCTTATCTATATATTTCCATCATCAACATAGACTATTAGGAATCCGTAACTGTAACATACATTTTGTAGTCTTGTATTTTACAGAAAAGCTATGAAAATTTTATTGTAGATACAAGCTAATTATATTTTAGTGTGTATAATTTCGTGTAAATGCAAAATAATAAATTTCGTTAAAAAAATATTTTCAAAAACAGTGTAAGATGGAAAACGTGTAAACGAGTATATAATATAATAGTGTAAAAAGCTCGATCGAACAGCAAAGATGTACCTTTTTGACAGTTTCTCGATTTCTCAACAAAAAAGTCCGGTTTTTAGGTAAATAACTAAACTAATTTATCCAAGAATTGGCCCCTAAAACTTTTTAATGACTAATAAAGTATAAACTTAAAATACCACATCATATTAAACACTGACGGAAACAGCTTTTTATAATGATTTTCGTTTTGCACAGTTTTTATATAATATTGAACTTTCTGAGTTACGCGGTTTTTCATGGAATCTACCATCCGTGTAAAACGCGGGATCATTGTGATCTTTAATCATCATTGAATTCTTCTATTATCAATATACTTTCAATCACATAAATCTCGCAGGAACTAAATTCAAATTTCGCATGTAAAAAAACAAACATTATTTAAAATACATGACTAGTTATAATATAAAGTTATAAATTTATGTTACTTTGAATAATTATTTGTTATCAAGTTACAAACCGGTTATTAGTTTAAGAAATAATTACATAATTTTTTTTTCTCCGAATAAAATAGTTATGTTACCGGTCTTTTTTGTAAAATAATCGCATGAGTAGTAACAAAATATCAAAAAGCTATTTGTTTGCTGTTCTATCGAGAAATTTGTTTACACTATATCGACTTCTAAAACCTAATCTCGTAATGACACAAATGCCATATAACAATATTATTATAAGCGCAACTTTTTGTTGTCACTTATCTATTAAGCACACGCGTAAAGTCGAACTAATGTCATTTGGAGGTTAGGTTTAAGAAGTAGTTAACTTGTAAAACGCTTGATCGTACAGCAAAGACATAGCGATTCCAACTCACGCAATTATTTAATAAAAGAGACCGGTAATATAACAGTTATTTTAACTGAGAATTGGCCCCTGTAAGTAGTAAATATCTAAAAATAAAAAAAAAGTGAAAGTATTAAACATTATTATCGAAAAATGATTTAATTTATATTTTATATTTAATAATATTCAATAATAACCAATTCGAATGCATAAAACTTTAAGTAAAGTCAGAATGATTAATAACTATAAAAAATTACTCGTATTATGTTATACATAACAAATAGTGTCAATCAAAAATTGAATTAGTTAGCATTTTACTTGTTACCCAATTGAGCAAGTAAAAAATATAGGTCATAGGTTGCCGATGCCTCTCTCCAGTCATTATTAGATCCCAAACTGATAGACACAGAAATGAATCACAAAATCTTTTCAATGCCACAATAACGCAATATAAACGTTAAAACAGTTTTTTAGGACAAGATGACATCAAGCTTTATGTTACTTGATGTTCTCACAAACAGTCATAATTTTATTAAAGAGAGTACCTACATGTTTAAAACAATAATTTCCCAAATCAAAATTGTAACTGCATCCCAAGCATTTTCTGTGAATTTTTTGCAATAAATGGATCATTTTAATTTAAGAAAATAACAACCAAAAAGTTTTAGCAGAACTCTCATAACTCCAACGTGTTTTCATGAAATACCATAATTAGAATGATTAAACGTTAAATTAACAAACTAAATAAACTAAATTTTATATTATATAATATACAATAGTAAAAGTGATCCATCTATTAACCTCATAATATAACAAATCATTAACAATAAAAAATATATAAAACAAATAAAACATAACTATTCTAAAAACAAAACCGAAGACAAAGAATTATTATGGCTAAACCAATGAAAACTTTCACATATAATCTTTCATAGAAACTTTTATGGTCAATGTGCATTTTGTGACATAAATAAATGTTAAATACAAATGGAAAATAATAAGAGTTTATAAAATCATACATATAGTTTTTTGACTATATGATTAAATCAGCAATGGGAATTAGTGCATTAATTGTATAATAAAATAGGCAAAATATTTAAAATAATCACATACACAACAAATACAACAAGCTGAACTATATATTAAATTAGTGGCTGACAAATGTTTTTATAAAATTTATTTATATATAAATGTTAGATAAGCATGCGCAACAAAGCCAAGCAAATAAAATCAGTGATAAAACTGATCAAAGTCTATAAAAAAAGCTACAATTAAACATTTTTATCTTTTCAGTACTGTACCTGGTTATTGCTGATCCTCTGCTGTTTGCATGAAAACAACAAATAAGATAAACAAATTAGTTAAATCAAACATATATTAGCATTAATAAGCTACTTATTATGCAATTATGACAGAGATGGACAACGGTTGGGTTAAAAAATTATTTAAAAAAAAATAAAAATATTGCAGTTTGCAATTTTACTTAACCATTAACAAGACATTCATGAACAAACATCTAAATTAAATTTACTTTTACGCAACACAATTTTAAATTGTTTCGCAGAAAAGTAGGTACTTATGGATATATACATATTTTTTAAAAATGTGAATAAAATTAAACAGTTTTTGATTACATGCTGACTATTTAGTTAATTTCGTAAATTACTCCAACAAAAGTTGTCTATCTCTGATACACAAAATTCAAAATCATTCATTTGCGTTTGTTGCGTACGCAAAAATTTCATACTTATAAAATACATAGCGAGTGATATATAAATAAAATGCCTTATTTATTTACAAAAATTTTTGCAAAATAGATTTTCTTTAATTAAATATGTTATTTACAAAATGCTCATTGCCCAATGCCTAGGTTAGAAAATACAAATTGCGACATCATCTGTAATAATATAAATATATAAAAAGTATGTACGCGTAAAATTTATTTGAAAACCACTATACAAAAATATTATAGACAATTTTCTGCTGCGTAATTTAATATATTAAAAATAAATACAAAGTAAAAATAAATAATTATATCAAACTATTTCTTATTTTTGGAAGTTAGTATTTAGAACAAAAATCGCAATCTTATGCAACCAAGAAATATTTTTCATAAGTATGATTATCTTAAAGAATTTAATATAAATTATATCGATAATTACACTAATGAAAATTTCTGTAATTTGAATATGATGTCAGAACGTTGTCACATAGAATTGATAATAATAAAAAATATTTAAAAAAACATACTTTTTATAACAAAATTATAATTTCAGCGAGTTGAAATAAAAAATAGCTTAAATATTGATTAAAGTAATATTAACCCAATAACATAGTAATGCCCAATTTAGTAATTGTTTCGATTCAATTCAAGGATTATTTTGTTAGCCAATATTATTTATTTATTTGGAATATATGACAATTATCATGACTTAAAAATAAGTTTATAAGAACAATAATCAAGTCTCAAACTCTCACAAAATTAGAACCTTCATGTTTCAAATATAATGTCATTTTTTTTCTACAATTTTAAAATTTTGTGATTCGGACGCTATTTTATAACAAAATAACTGCCCATAAACCCATCTTCAATCTAAAAAAAATTACATATGCAGCTAGATTTCAGAATACAAAAGTAAGATACTCAAATCCGCAAGAATGATTGGCCCGAGTTGCCGACCTCTGCACTACGCAAAGCAGTAGAAATGACATATAACCCCATCCATCATGTTTTAAATAAAGATATTAAAAAATATGTGAAACCGTTTATAACTTAAAATCTTTTTTTATTCCATTGAAGTTCGTTGAAGAAAATACCGAACATATGGGAAAAAAAACGAAGTAGCGAAGCACAAGTGTCAATGATTATAAGTCCGATTCTGCCGTAAAATAGACCAATGTTACGAAAGCTTCTCATTGAAAATGGTACCAAATACTGTCAAAATGCCATATTTGTGAGTTTTCTAGGTTAGGTATTTTATCTAAACGCCTGTCTGCACATCAATCACATGGCATTTTGGCAGTATTTAGTAACATTTTATATGAAAAGCGCTGCGTAACATAGCCCCTACGTAACAATGGTTTATTTTACGGCAGAATCGGCCCCTATTAATATATATGCCTGTGCATACATGCTTCCATGCATTACCTTATAAATGCAATAATTAAAAACACGTTCGCTGAAGAAAACATTCTAGATTTTGAGATATAATTGGAATTCAAAATAATTACTTTATCGCAAAATTTAAGGATGCTGAGAACAATTATCTGAAAAAACTATAAATATTACATGCTATTAACTAAATGTTCAGTGCAAAATTCGGATAAAAAATTGCATGCGTACGTATATGCATATGCGCAACATTCGATTTAAATAGAAACTGTAGAAAAATTTACTGAATTTTAATTATTTCATTAGATTGCGTTGTGCAGTAAATATTCAAAGCAAATTTAAGCAAGAATAATAATTAGATGAATACCTGTTGCAGTTTATAGTGGTTGATGATATCTTGGTCGGCTGGGCACGACTGGGTGAATGCGTCCAACTGGTACATGTGATACATATAACGCCATAAGGCGGTTAGATTGCTCTGCAAGTGAAATAAAAATGGTAAATTTAATTACTTTTAATGAGATTTTGATTGTTAATATGGCGAATAAAATTCTGAATTATAGATGCTCAAGCATATCATAACTTGTGAACGCCATGATATTGAAAAAGTTATGATAAAAATTGTTCTTCCATTTGATTTTGATTTGATAAAGGTGTATAAATAATATTGTACAATATATAGTAGGTTAAACCTACTTACTAGGTTGCTTTAAGGGATAGGTTTTATCTACGGTTAAGAATGTGTACTTACATGTCGTCGGTTAATATTAAAATGAAATGTTTTAGAATACTCTAAAGCCGTGATTTCCAACCTGTGGAGCGCGTTCCTTCTGGAGCCTGCGATGCGGTTAAAAGGGAGGCGTACAGCTTCAACACAACCGCAACATTTTTTTTTAATTAGAATAGGGGAGAGGGCGAGGTGTAAATAAGGTTGGAAACCACTGCTCTAAACTACATTGTTTATTTTAACCTGTTTATATGAGCTCGCCCGTAGGTAAGCGGTTAAGAGCGACAGGACTTGATTCAGAGGTCCCGGGTTCGATAGCCATTTCGAGCAACCTGCTGTCAGGCAGCAGTGACAACGATTTTCACTTGGAAATATAGATAGCAATATGTTTCCAAGTGAAAATAGCCCTCACTCGGCATTGCTGCATCAATAAAAATATTCGCTCTATTGCACAAATTGTAATACTAATATATCGTACAGATATATGACAACTGATTGGGTTGCCATCTGTGAAACAGATTAATACTAACAATTAGCACAGCTATAGAACTATTAGATTCTGATTGCTGTTAAAAAAACCTCGTTATATAGAATATAATATAAAGCATCGAACTAAATTAAATTCGAATTAAATTAAATTTGAATAATATTACTATAAGTTATTTAAAACAACGTTAAAAATAAAATTTACGTTTAGAAAACTACCAATTTTTTAAACTTTATTAATTTAACGCCATTGCTTCGATTCTACCAAACATTGATTCATTCCTCAAATAGAAAAATATTATAATTGAAACTATAACATATCTGTTATAAAGTAAATGAAAATAAAAATCTTATAATTATAAACAAGCATGAAATGTAGGGAAGACTGGGTACGGTTGTGCCAAGGTACGGTAGAGACAGTCGTCATAATAGCTAAACAATACTGAATTTGAGATAGCGTCCGTGATAAAAATGAAGTATGTATGTTTGTTCGAACAAGTTCATCCTATTATTGTCTATTATTGAATTGATTCAGCGCCCTGCATAAACATGATTTGTAGGCCGCATTGCTTTTAAAGAATGAAAATTTTTGTTCGATTTCTATTAATAATAACTGTTGCATGTATACAGATAGATCATAATGTTTAAAATTTTGCTGCAAGTTGAACATTAGTAGTTAATTACCAGCAATTAGTTTCTGCGCAGATAATTTAGTTCAGTCATAACAATGTTTTGTTTTCAAAATTGTGCGTTGAGTACGGGTAATATTTCTTGTCCTTTTCGGGTGAAGATTAAACACATAAAAAGATAGGGAAAATCTAACTTTACTTAGATAAAATAGGAAAGAGAAAGGGAAAGGAAAATTCAATATAAGAAAAAAAAGTTTTCACGAATATTTTCTTGTTAACTTCGTATAAAAAAATAAGTTGGTTATATATATTGTTACATTATATCCATAATCATAGATTAGTTTAAATGATTATATTGTGTTGTATTAGATATTTCTGATTTCCATTTTGGTATTTGAAGTTATTGCTACTTAATCTATGTTTATGTCTGCTACGACCGTCCTGGGGGTGTGGACGGTTGTTTGTTAACTTCCCGAAGGAGAAGTTTATGTTTTCATAAAAAAATCCGATTCGCTAATTTTATGTTTTCTCGACATTTCAAGCCATTCTGAATCGAATGAGACCAAATTTGGAAAAAGTATGTATGTGTGAATGTGTATGTGAACAGATTTTTTGCCGTAAATCAACGTTTTCTCAAAAACGGCTGGACCAAATTTAAAAATTTAAAAGCCATTCGATGTATCTCGATGAGGACTAGCGTCCTCATTTTGTGCGACGATCGGCCGGGCCGTTGCTTTGTAAATCGCAGAAAAATAAAAAAAAATTCGTCCACGTTGTAGCCCGCAATTCCGAATCGATTTTAAAAATTCAAAAACCGTTCGATAGATATTGGTTGGGAATCGTGCTGATTAGTTTTTGGTAAAGATCGGCCGGGCCGTTTTCTTGTAATAAAGTTTAAAAAACAAAAAATTTAGACGATTTTTATTATTATTTTTTTGACGGTAGATACCATAGTCTTATAGATCATACTAAAATATCATACTAAAAAATTCGTCAAAGTTTGCAAAAATTGGTATCGTTGTTTTGGCATTTGTCAATATTAGACCTTTGATCGACGTTTTCTCAAAAACTCCTGAACCGATTTGCGAAATTTAAAAGCCATTCGATGTATGATGAGGACTATCTTTTGTCAGTTTTGTGCGACGATCTGCCGAGGCGTTTCTTTGCAATTTGAAAAAAAGTGTTAAACTTTTTGTCCACATTTAAGCTCATACTACCGAATCGATTTTGAAAAATCGAAAACTTTTCGAAAGATATTAGTTGGGAATGATACTGATCAGTTTTAGGTGAAAATCTACCGAGCCGTTTTCTTGTAATTAACTGTTGAAAAAAAAAATTTAAGCCGATTTTTATGGAACTTTTTTTGGTGATATATATCATGGTCTTATAGAACTTACTGAAATATTACGGTCTTACAACATGTAGTTTAATTTTAAAAATTCATCAAAGTTTGAAAAAATGAGTAGTTTTTTTGACGTTTGGTAAATTTAAAATTAGACGATTTACTTGGCATAGCGATAGAGTACTTGGTCTTAATGAACATACTAAACCATTAAAATCCTACGGAAACTGGTTCAATTATAAAAATTGTTGATTTTTAAAAATTTGCTCTTAGAAAATAATTCGAGTTAACGTGATTGTTCGCGTTCAATGATATGTAATAAATCCACTCGGAATACTCATAAATTATATTTTATTGAATAAGTCGTTTATTTAACAATTCGGGAAGTTCATGTAACTTGCCTCAAGGCTAAATACCAATACCAACTAGTTATATATGATTTTGAAGCAATAATTGAAAAAAATCCTCATCGCTGATTTGTGGAAATATCTGTCGAGAATCAACTGATCTTCAAGCGAGTGGCATCTAATCTAATTGCGGGGAAAATTATGAATCAGGCAGACGAACGGACGAAAGGAGGCGAAACATGTGCGAATTCCACGTCGACGTACATCTAATTAACATCACAAGAAGTAGAGAACGATGCCAAGAATAATCAACAAAGTTGCTAACGATTTACACAAATATTCTCCGTTTTGCCTCTGCTACTCGGAGCAAAAAAAAAAAACAATTTTTTAATCATTCGTGTAAATATCATTGGCGAGCAAATCTAGAATGTTGATAACGGTAAGATGTATTATGTAGATAAATGTAGGATTGTCAATTCTAACAACTAAGACTGCGGCAATTGTCGGCTATGTAATAATCATGATCAGAGTGGGGACAGCGATATTAACTCAAAACGCAATATTTTAATGAAATATTTAAAAAAATCCTGTACAAGGTAAGTTACGTATCATTAATTTATGCCCTGTATAACGTAGTACATACTTCTTCAATATTTTGGTTTCGATTTGAACTTACTAATTGAACCTGTTCTGTATAATTAGATTATAATGATTAGAATTGCAAATTGAAAAATTAATTACATATATAATATTATAACAAGCAAGTTTTCATTCAGACATCCAAGTATTAAAAAAACTAATGGTAAGTTAGGTTTATTTTATCTTAATTTACTGCTTTTACTTCCCGTAGAGTAAGTTACAATGACAAAAAAATCGAAAATGAATTTTGTTGCATATTTTTATGTTTTAAAACCTTCAGAACATTTTGACAAAACGTATGTATGTGTGTATGTACGGATGTAAATCATCCGATTTGAATGATTCAAAAATATTCGATTTCTATTGATGAGATAGCGTGCTGATTAAATATTGGCCATGGCAGGTCCAGCAATTTCGAAGATACAGGGCAAGAAGCGCCAAAAATGGTAATTCAGTGTTTGAGGGAACTGAGCGTCCGATTTGAATGATTTAAAAAATATTTTACTTGCTTAACAAAATGAAGATATGATTAAATTTTTGAAATGACAGATTCAAAATCTCCACAGAATTGGGGATGAAAAATGAAAAAGTAAAAAAATTCCATTATGCACATCAAATGATCAGATATTTTATAGAAATTTAAATATTAACTATAAATTTTGTTTACATTTCAATGGGTTTCGTACCAAGAAATCTCCTTTAAATTTCACGGAAATACAAGTTTTAGTTAATAAAAAAGTAATGATGTTAAATATTGAAAACACGTAACTCGTGGACAGCTCAAGCCAGTAGTTTCCAACCTTTTCATATTGCCCCCACCCCTTAATTACTCCAATCTAATTTTATAAATACTCAATTAATTTTATACTTTATTGTAAATTAATAAACAATATTACATAAAAACTAGTGGGGTGGGTGGCATCGTGCCTTAAGGCAAATTGCTGGAACTTCCCGTACCGTAACGAAACGTTCGAGGAATATTGAATGTTTTCAAATAGATTATTATAAATATTGTATTATTGTCTAATATTTATAATAATTATATAAACTGAATTGCAGAGTTGAAATTATTTGTTTAAAGTATATTAGAACTATAGTCAGAATTAAAAATAAAATCTGAATTATTTTCGATATACAAAAAATTAAAAAAAAAAAAAAAAAAAAAAAAAAAATTGTACAAAATTTTTTTTTCCAAAATTAATTATTTTGTTAAGACAAGCAGAAAGTTCTTTAAATCAATTGAATCGGACGCTTAGTTCTCTCAAAAACTGCCATTTTTTGTACATTTAGCTCTGTATCTCCGAAATGGCTGGGCCTGCCTTTGCGAAAAACTAATAACCCTTTCTCCCAATCATTACTAATGGAATGTTTTTTAGATCATTCAAATCGGATGCTCCGTTCTCTCAAAAACTCGATTTCTATTTTCTGCACTCTTTGCTCCTTATCTCCGTAACTGCTGGACCTGTCTTTGCCAAAAACTAATCAGCTCTTCTCCTTATTAATAGGAATCGAATGTTTTTTAAACCATTCAAATCGGTTGATCCGTACGCCCGAAAACGTGGACGAAAATTTGTATCCATACATACATACACACACACACACACACACACACACACACATCCATTTTTTCTGAGGTATGCCAAAACGTTCAGAAACCTTCAAAACGTCGAGAAATGTAAAAATTTTCAATTCCGATTTTCGGCCCATTACAATAACTTACCCTACGGGAAGTTAATAATTATATATTAATTCAATTTTTATATCATTTAATTTGTTTTTTTTGAAAATAGTATTTTGAAAATAGCTGTACGCCCCCCTTGAGAGGTTGCGCAACTAAGGTTGGAAACCGATAGACTTAAGTAGTATAACTAGCTGTAAGTGGAATTCTGTCTTAAGGCAATTATGGCATCGTGTCTAAAGGCAAATTGCTGGAACTTCCCGTACCAAAAATTATTATAATTTAAAAACGATTAACATTTTTGAAAAAAACTTACTTCGAAAAAATAAGATTTTTGAAATACTTTTTTTTGAAAAAAAATGTTTTTTTTATTGACATATTTTGGAAGATCTAAACTTTTTTTCAAAGCAATCGTACTGCTTTAACTGCATAGAGACAAAATATAAGCGTAAGCGCCGCGTCGCTGTCTAACGGATAAACATTGGTACGGAACCCATAGGGATGTAAACAAAATTTATACTTATTGTTAAAATCTCTATAAAATATCTGATAATTTGATGTGCATATGCCTAATGATCATTTTTTACCGCCAAATGGCTTTTTTTTTTTACTTTTTTCGTTAGATCTCCAAAACTGCTAGACCTGCCCTTATGAAAATTTGATCAATTTTTCATCTTGTCAATACGAGTAAAATGTTTTTTGAATTATTAAAATCGGACGTTCCGTTCTCTTAAAAACTGAGGTACTGTTTTTGGCACTTTTTGCCCCATATCTTTGGAACGGCTAGACCTGCCTCCGCCAAAAACTAATCAGCACGTCTCCTTATCAATACAAATCGAATGTTTTTTGAATAATTCAAATCGGTTGATCCGTGTTCCCGAAATCGTCACACACACACACATACATCCATTTTTTCTAAGGTATGCCAAAATGTTAAAAAACCTTTGAAACGTAAAGATATATAAAAATTTTCATATTCGATTTTTTTGCGATTGCTATAACTTACCCTACGGGAAGTTAATAACCAAACAATATTACTAATACGTTTGTTATGGGAGTTACTGGATACTGGTGACCGACGTATGGACGCAGTAAATAATAAAGGTGCATAATTGCAATAGATATAATTACTGATACTATTATTATCAAAATATTTTGAATAAATTAAAGCAATATAAAACATACCACATACCAATTCTGTTCATATGTGATATTTTTTATGAGAGGGTCCACTATTAGTGTCGGACCAGCTAATCAAAAAAAAAAATGCACTAATTTTAACTATTTGGTTTAATTAAAAATAATGCTTAAAATCATTATATGCATCGCATAACTGCATGATATGATTGCATAATATGCATGGCAAAACGTTACTTTGGGGCGCTTTGGAATACCGACGGATAATGTTTTCGGTGTCAAAGGTTTGAGTAAAACAATTCTTTACTGATCACATGAAATTATGATTCTATATCTAATTACCGGAATTTCAAATTCGACGAAATACTTGGCGGCGACCCTGATGTGTTGTAACCTGGGCATCAGTTCGCAGTCGAAGCAGCACATGGTGTCGCCCGTTAGGAATCTCGTGCCGCGCCGCGCCAAATGGTCGTTGATTTTCCTCAGGTGGCTCAGCAGACTATTGCTTTTTACGTCATCCTTTTTGACTAAAACCAACTTCAATTTAGAGTACAAATTCTCGATGAGTGTTGCCACTTCTTTATCCTGTTGGACAAAAATATATAATTTTATATAATATCATATTTAGATACAATGAATATACAACAGCAAATAATAATATATAGTCAATAATATAGTTATATGTTCATATGAGGTAAGGCGAGGCATAAAGGTCCAATTTGACTTTGAGCAATTATATTGTGAAATAATAACAAATAACACATGTCTAATAAACAAGTTGTTTATTAGACTGATAGTCAGATAGTTGTTTAAAACAACTATCTGACTATCTGACTATGTTCAGTAAAACTCGCAGATAGTCAGATAGTTGTTCAAAACAACTATCTGATTATCTGACTATGTTCAGTAAAACTCGCAGCCAATTATTATAGATGTGTTTTTTTTGCTGTTATTCAAAAACTTGTAACCTGGTCTTCTTACCCAAACAGGTCCAATGTCTTATTTTTAATTTTAAAGGAATTTTACGAAATAATAGCTACATTATTGAATCTATGCAAAATATAAATTTCGTGGGTACATTTTTTACAGAGATAAGAATGTATATAACCTTGATATGGTATTTTGTCGAAAATATTCATCACCAGAAATTAAATAACTAGTTATATAATTTATCTTTTGTAAAATTGCTTTCTTTACTGAATTTACTCTTTTTATTCTTTACATCTTTGCCAGAGTAAAGGTTCTGTTTATCCTTTATACCCTAGCCGCGTGTGAAATTTTATAGGGGTTATATAAAAAAACTGTTCAATCTAACTTCAAATTGGCAATACATTTTATAAAACAATTAACTTAAATACTTAAAAATTATATTAAGGTCTCGTAAACTCAACAACAATGCTCACAATCAAAAAATCTAAAAACGAATGAAAATACTTTTGTTATGGATTTTCAAATATTGCTGTTTATCTCACGATAGCAACTTTGCAAGAAACAAGGTGATAGCTAGTTATACATTTTCCTCATCTACTTTTAAAAATTATTAAAATATTATTATCTTTACTTGCTTTTGAAACATCGGTGGTGAACCTTTTTATCCGCCGACCTTTAAGCCCCGCTCTACCCTTTCAAATAACATGCTGCTAATAAAAAGTGAAGATTTCCATAAAAATCTTTATTGTATCAAACACTTCGAGGCCAAATTTCCGTAACAAAGCGTTGTTATGAAAGCTCTCCTTTCTTCATAGAAATTAGTAAAAAAAACTGCCAAATTGCAATGCATTTGCTGAGCAGACGGGCTTTTCAGATAAACGCGCAACATTTAGATTTTATTTTATTATTCACATTTCTTTCCATATATAAAATAAGGTAGAACGCCAATATTTAAAATCCTCCATTAATAACAAAAAGGTCGGACTAACCGTTTAGTACAATAATAATATCATTGCAGTTGAAATCAGATTATATTTAATATCAGAATAATTGAGCTGCAATTATATTTCGTTGAGGTACCTATAGGTGACAATTCGGTTACAAAACTGATGAGTAAAAAAACTGATTACCATAATATGCGCTCAATAAAAAATATATATTCTTAAATACTTTCAATATCAATCATCACCCACTAATTTAAGATTAACATTCTCATATATAATTAATATGTATGCCATTAAAATTTGTATTTGTTCTAGATCACTTATTCCAATGTGTTTTAAAATGATCCACAAAAATCTTATAATAAAAAGCATATAAAAGATTCCCGCTGTAAATTCTGAGACTAACATAAAATGTTATTTTATTATTTTTTAGATCAGTGCATACTTAGAACACAAAACTAAACAAATGTATATTTTTAGAATAGTTAAGAGCATATGTAAGTATAGTAACGTCTATTTAAGATGTTCATTTATTGACTTTGAACTAACCGATATCTTTAAAAAAAAACAGCAGAGAAGATTGAATAAAAATAACATCTTGAGAAAAAATTATATATCAATTATGAAATATTGCATACAATACTTGAATTTGATGTTTTTTCAATGCAAGGGCAATGAAAATCAAAGATGCAATAAATCTATTATGTTTTCCTACTATTTGTTTCGACTATACATCATCAATTAAAAGCAAACGTCAAAACTACAGGAGACGTATTAATAATAATAATAATTAAGAAGACTTGTGAACTAAAGTAACATGCAACTTGGGTTAGAAAAGTTTCTTTTAATTGTCTCTAAGCTGGTAAGTTTTTATAGATGCGTGCAAGAAACGTAGCAATATATCAATAATGTAATACTACAGTAGAAGTCCATTAGTCCGGGACGCTCGAGATCAGCCTAAGTGTCAAAAATTCCGGACTATCAGGCGGTAATCATAAAAACAATTGGGTTAATAATTAAACTACAAAAATATTACAAAGTGATGAAAATGGTCTTTAAAGAGGCAGCAGTCACTAGTACATGGAAAACCGGTTAATTTGTCTTTGTTTTCCTTAAAAACCTTGCCTGCTAGTGTGGAGTTAAATATTACGAGCCACAAATTTCTGAAATACGTCTTGGTATTTTTCTGCAGAAGTTTGGCTTGCTGAATTTTTGTTTTTCCACTATATCAAGTCTTTAAATTTCATGTCGAAACTTAAAGTTTCTGACCCGAATAATTACATACACTTTCAGCAACTCCTAAACCTTGACCGAATTTTTTGCCTTTTCAACGATCATTGACCCTATTACAGGCTTTCCTTCTAAGCTTTGGCCCTATTACAGGCTATCCCAAACCATTTGAACAATACACAAACTACCTTTATTATCTTTAGTTTTAGTTTTTTAATGTTTATCTAGAAGCCAATGTTTTAATTGTTACCGACTAAGTTACAAACTTCGTCAGATAATGCCAAACAGTTGATGAGCTCTCGAGCGTATTTATTTGCTATACACAGTTTTGAATAAAGAAAATTTTCCGGAACAATGCCGGACTACCGGTCATTCCGGACAGTTGGGTGCCAAACTAATGGGTTTTTACTATATTTATATTACAACAAATTTGGAAAAATATTATTTTTAACTATTCTGAATAATAAAAGATATTATTATCAAAATACAGTAATACCCCGCTTAACGCTGTATCGTTTAGCGTTGTTTCGGTATGGGCTCTTATTTCAACCCAAGTTTCGAAGGGAGAAATGTGAAAGATATCGAAAAAATAATTCAAGAAGCAGCATAGTCTTTCTAATGGTGAGCTCAAAAAATAAACTGAATAATAAGAAAACAAAAATGTTAATAGCAGTTATTCAGAGGAAGAGCAAAAAGAACTTTTGATGGCGTTTGTCAAAAGGAGTTTGTCTACCATAACTGAAATAATGGACTGAAATAATGGAAATAATTTTGAGAGGCACTTCTGCCTCAAAAGTAGGCAAAACACTAAAAACGCGGAAAGCTAACAAAATATGACCGACTTATAATTTTAAGTTATTCAAGAATTTTCGTGTTGTTATTTATATTTAGTTTCTATTTTTGCAAGAAATAATGATGTGGTATTAATTTTGGCTTTAAGAAATAAATGTTTGGTTTTATTTTTATCAAAAAAATATACTTTTTAAATTTAATACATAATCAATTTCCTAGCCATCTTTCCCTAACCCCAATATTTCCATGTAAAGATAGCCTCGTTTAGCGCTATTTCGCATTATGATAGAAAGTATCCCCCACGTTAAGCGGAGTATTACTGTAAGCGTATATATATACAAATATTCAAATTACCTGAACAAAAAGATTGTGTCCTCCAGGGACACTCTTCATGATGTGACGTTCGATTTTGTCGTTTTCTAGCACGGCCAGGCCATTGTCGATTAGAATTGGCGGCGGCGTCGCTTCAAAATTTGTACGGAAATCCGGTGGAGGTTTTTGCATGTCTACTGTTGTAACCTGAAAATAAATCAAATTATAAAATGAATGTATATCAAAACCATCAAAATCTATTTTGTATATGAGTTCTACTTTATTTATGACTTATCATAATACTTTTTACCATCAAATAAGTAACAAAAAAGTCTCAATTAGCTTAATAACAAAATTACGTTAACATTACCAATATATAGTCTGCCAAAATTATACTCCACTAATTACAAAACCAATCATTATCATCACGAGACAATTAACAGTATAAAAATAACTTTTTTCGTTAATATAAAATTCTAACATAAGTTGCAAACATAAATTTCTATTAACTATTAAGTCATTTATTTCTAATGGAAGTGAAATAATCTATATGCGGGGAGTGATGTGGCATTCAAGTCAGCTTTGACATTAGAGAATAAAAAATATTATGTCATGACATATAGATATTTTTGTAAACTGTATTTTATAATATATTTTTTATAAAGCTGGAAATAGTTCTTTATAAATTAACACATATTCACATATGTATTCTCATTTTATCGAAAAAAACGACTACTAAAACTTTAAACGTTTGATAGATAAAATTTAATCTTTGAATTTAACGATTCTATTTACAGGATGTAAGAAAACGTTTTTTTTAAAGAAAGTTGGTGTTCTAAAATAGCTGACAGTAAACTGATCAGTCTGTAGGATAATCATGTATATATAATAACAATTGAGATTTAGTTGTTGAGACAAAATGTTCAACTTTGTATTTCAAAATTTAAGTTCTCGTATGCATTAAAAACTAATCAATGCGATTCACAATTGATATCTTTCAAACAGACTTATATTACATACATTAATTGTATATAATGCACAATTACGTGCAACTTCTATGACTTTGTATAATTAAACCACGTTTCGTGAGACTATAATATATTAGGATGTTCGTTCAGAATCTAAACGATCTAAACTTTAGATCATGAACCCTGGGCGATGTTTGCCAAACACTAATCAGCACGAACCACATAATCGCGATTTCTTGCTAATTCTGAAAAAAACAGCTCAATTGTCTCACAAATTAAAATAAACGAACATTTATTTTAGAAATAAACTCATAATATTAAGACAAAAAATAAGAAAAATGTATATACCATTTCTGTAAATTTTATTATAGTCACTTTTTTGACAATAATTATTGAATTAAATTTCTTCATTTGAGATTTATAAACTAAAAATTTAAAAATAGAAATTTCCCAAAATAAGAGAATCTGCTACAACCAAAAAAGTTACTTGTTATTACATGAAAAAGATTAATGAAACACCTAAGTAAATATTAAATAAAATATAATTTTCTTGTAATTTTTTATAAAAATTTCAGAATATAAAATTGATACTACTCCATGATGTTAAATTCTAATTTGTAACGTAATTCAACTGTAATATTGACAAAAGTTGTCAATACGATTTCTAGTGCTATTTTGGAAACAATGATAACAAGATTATTATTTATATTATTTTTAATAAGTAATATCCTAGTAAATATAAGATTTGCAAGGCCAAACCTAAACTTTATGGTTTAATATTCCAAAAATTCTAAAACGATAAAGCCTATGTTAAGTCACAAAGACATTGCCGACAACGATTAACCAATTTGAAAATTTTTGTGTCAATTTTCATAATACTATAATCGTGATAAGATAAAAAAATTTATAGGAACCTTGAAAGAATCATAGGAATGATGCAATGGTACAAGTATTCATGATTAACCAATTACTTATCGTAAGCGTCAGATCATTGTTATCGCAAGACTAATTCAATATTAACAATATGTATAATTACGAATTTCAAACAATATTATCTAAAACACTAAATTTCTTTGCACCAGTCGACCGTGATATAAAACACTTGTTAAAACAAGAATATTTTTAAATGCTGGCAATGTCAAAACCATAAAAGCTAAATTAAAATTAATCTCTAAAAAATCGAGTTTAAATTCAGACAAAAGATATAAATAGTATCCATATTATTTTATAAAACTATGACAATTATTGTATCGTGTTAATTAAAACTACTTAGGGCTCTTTTCAAATGCTCATAGTATGAACTTCATACAATTAGCATAAATCTACAAAAAAACTTATTTGCTTGTATTTTTTTATTATAAAATCAGATCAACTAGGATTTATTTTTCTGTTAAACTTTATTACTCATGCATTTTTTTTCATTTTTATTTAGATATATTGTATTATCTTCAAGCATCTAGGGAATTTAACTCCTATGTTTATAGCTCTGATGTAAAATATCATAAATCGTAATTAAAAACATTTATAAATTTTAATATTAATTTTTATAATAAATAAACGACACATGTCTGTGGCGTTGAATTGTATCCACCTCAATACATATATTTATATGTATATGTAATATGTTGTTCTAAAAATGATTTTGAAAAAAAAAATCCACTTATGCATTCATTAACTTCAAAAAGCCTTTTGTCATTATTATTTGAGTACTATAATAAAATCAAGAACAACTGACTTAGGCTTGAGCGGGACTGAAAGGACCATGGGTAAAAAGTCCAACACTGACATTTCAAAAACAAGTAAAGTTAAGAATTTTGTTAACAATAATATTTGAAAGTAAAGAGAAAAAATGTATAATCATCATCTTGATTCTTACGACGTTGCTATAGGGAGATGAATGGCAATGTTTGAAAATCCATAACAAAAGCATATTCTTACGTAGTTAGTTTTGTTAGTTGTGAGCGCTATTGTTTAGTTTAAGAGACCTTAATATAATTTTTAGGTACACGTTATTTAATTGTTTTATACGATAGTTTAATAAGTTAGATTTAATAGATTTTTTTATAACGTCTATAAAAGCTTGCATCTGGTTGAGGTAAAAAAGACTACCTAAACCTTTATCCTGACAAAGATGTAAACGATTTAAAACAGTAAAATTAAATTAAAAAAGCAATTTTACCAAAGATAAATAAATAGTTATTCCAACTCTGCAGTTGAATATTTCTGACGAAATACTAGATGAAGGTTATATACAGTGTTATCTCTGTAAAAATGTACTTGTTAAATTTATATTTTGCATTACTTGAATAATGTAGCTATTACTTCGTAAAATTCCTTTAAAATTAAAAATAAGAGATTTGACCTGTTTGCCCCTTTGACCTGGTAAAAAGAACCAGATGACAATTTTTTGAAAAAAAAACAATAAAAAAAAATTCTGCTATAATATGTGTTAGCTGAGTGTTTTACAGAACATAGTGAGATAATTGTTTGTTTGATATCAATTATTTATTGTGATATAATTAGTTTGGTTTTCACAATATAAATGCTCTAAAATAAGTCAAATTGGACCTTCGTGTCCCGACCTTCTCTATATCTTATTTTGACACACAATTTTTCAACGTTTAGAATAAATAATAGCATGCAGCGTAATCAATAGAATAATTTTGTTTTCATCGAATTTTATCTAAATCCCTTATGTTTTAAAGAACTACTTGTAATAATTACAATAGGAGATATCCTCTCAGATTTTTTCGCACATTTATAATCTGCATATCTTAATTGTTTTTATCAAAGTTTGAAAAAAAAAATACTGTGACTGACTGACCGCGGACGAATATATGAATTAGAAGTTGCTATATTTGTTATGTAACTCTATTAGCGCAATCTCAGTAAATGAAAATGAGTGCATCGACATCATAAGCAATTAATTTCGTGCAAAAAGAAAAATCTCACTTGAAGCTTTCAAATAACAACCGTGTAATATTTCGAATTCGTGTTGTGGAGTTGAAATTATTGCCGGAGACTGCTTTCGTAGTGTATTTATTATTATATTCGCATTTGACCAAGTTAAACTGTTGGAATTATTCCGAGCATAAACTAGGACGCCAGTGTCAAATGCTTCACGCACTACTGGATGCGCCTGGATCGAGTTGTTGATTGAGAAAATTAACCGAAGATGTGTCATTTCTCTTAGATCTTAGCTCACACTTTCTTCATTAGAAAACACTGCGTATTTATGAAGAGTGAAGATACGTATGTATATTATTAACTTTAACTGCGTTTTGCATATAAACATTTCCAGTATCTGTAAATAGCTCCATTCGACAGGATATGACTGGTCATTTCATTTTTCAAGTCTAATGTTGTATATAGTCAACTCTCCCACAACGCGGTACTCGCGGCCAACTAGTATGGAACGCCGTTTCCATACTACACGGTGCTAAAAAATCGATAACCGTTCTTTAAGGCCTTACTCCTACAGCGCGGTTTCTGTTCAAGAGTCCATAAGTTCTTTTCGCGCAACTCCTTTGAGTAACTCCAGTAACTAGATTTTCCAACAAAATTTAAAGCTTTTTCAAAATTTTGAGTTTTGGTACGGAAAGTTCCAGCAATTTGCATTGGCACTATGCCATGCACCACTAGTTATAATTTTTATTAGCAAGGATTTCATCCTTTGCAATGTGTCTGTATAAAAATGCCCGTTTATAGTGGCATGAGTTTTTGGTAGTGTCAAGGCCCTTTCAAAGAGCAAGAAATTCATTTTTTTTATTGGGAAGTAGATTTTTAGTTAAAATCTACAAAAAATACAAATTATTAATAAAAAAAATTATCATATCCTGATATAAACACATTATTTTTAGCTAAGAATTAAACATGGTTCTTCTAGCACGGTTTCCATATTACACGGTGCGCACTTGCCGCGTTATCGGAGGGTTAATTGTACCACCTTAAGTACTCTGCTCATATCAGAACGTACGATATATGTGGTTAAAAGCGAATAGGATTAAATGACTAAAAGACCTCTATTTGATGTTTTCCGAAATTAAAAAATAAGAACAATTTTGTGCTGATCCTAATATTTTCTTAATATATTTTTGTACACATAAAAATTGACCTATATTCATATGCTTGCCTAAATGAGCACACAAGTTTAAAAAATGAAGTAAATGCATGCTCAAAAATCTTTTAAGATTTTATATTTATCCATAGTAGTCAAAGAAATAATTTCAAAGATAAGATGAGACATGCTTAAAAACTAAAATTTATATGTTATTAATAATAATGTTATACTATAAGAATTACACTAAAGAGTTTTTATTTCGTATATAAAAATGTCACATTTCATTCTGATCTCCCTTTTCGAGTATTATATAGTTATAGTTTTGGAAAAACATTTTATAATTGATATTGTTTTATATTTTTAATTGATATAACTAACAGAACAATAATGTTATATTAGGCTACGTAATAAATTAACGTGTCTATAAAATTTTATATTTAAATAATACCTTTAAACTGATAGTTTTAAGTTCTGCTAGCAGGTACAAATCCATAAAATATTCTTGACAAAATAAACAAGCTCCTTTACGTCGACCATCTATGGTGGATGCCTATAAAAAAGAAAAAAATGTTATTTAAGTACATATTTTAATACATAAGTAGTATAAATTAATATTTTCCGAAATACACAAAAGGTTAAAAGGTAATAAAACTTTAAAACTTTTGCAAAAGTAGATGTCATTATCAGATATTACCCTTCCACTACACGCGTGAATATGTTTACCAAAACTACACACTACACGCGTCGGACTGTGAGTCCGCATTAGAAAAACATCACATTTTTTAAGGAATAAGTTTTTATATATGGATAATCTATAAAAAGTGTGTATTACTAAATATCTATATTTGATAAACATAATTATTTAGACAATCTGAATCTCATTGTACGAGTACCACAACGCGCTCTTTTGGACTGCTGCTTGCAACTTCTGCACCAGGACGTTTCCGTATGTACAGAATTTTCCTGATTCTAGTCTTCATTTGTCTAGACAAGCAAGAATGTTGGGCTCATTGAATTGTTGATGATTGTCTACTATTTATAAGAACAAAACGCATAAGTTTTCTTTTTGTCTATAAGTATATTCCACCCTTTGGTGTCATTATAATATTGGCAACATTCATTCTTTCTTTATTTACACAGAATGGAAAGCATATATTTTGTCAAATAACAAAAGTATCGAATTTCTTCTTAAGACGTAATTACACTTAAGACGTAATTTGCAGGACTCACGGTCCGCAAAACTCACAGTCGTAACGTATATAGACCTCAAAAATCCATAACATATAGCAGGATTTTGCAGGCAGCTCAGTAGGAAATGGTGTCAAAAAAGTTTTTTGCGGACTGAGAGTCCGCGCGCGTTTTGCGTAAGGTTAAATAACATATATATAAATTTTAAATTTTTAAAAGAGAACTATTTCCAGTCAATTATAACATTAACACTTGTATAGTGTTTAACTTACTAAAATTAACTAATTATTACTTTCGTTAACTTCAGGTATTATAAAATTCTTAATATCCCAAATTATAAGAGTTTGTATAATATATTAAAGGAAATTAAAATAAATAAATATGCAAAAACATATGTATAAAATTGTAATTGTGAAGTATATAAAATAGTTTAAATACATATAGATTTTTAAATTAATATTCTCAACTTCCGCTTTTCAAATGTCATTATTATTGAACAGATTATAACTCAGTCTTATAACCTAGTCAACTAAGAAATAGGAAGAAAATTGGACTAACATAACTAGTTAATTATTTCTAGTCGAGTATATCTAATGAGCAGGTAAATTTAGGTTTCATTTCCGTTATAATCAGTGCATTCGGAGCAATTGAAGTTAAAACGATAAACCAAACGCCTAATAATTAACCCAAATAAAGTCACTGTACTATATACAGTACAAAACTTTTAATCTGTTGCAATCGTCCGATTTATATTATTATTCATGAACAAACTGTAATCACAAGAATAAATATTACTGCAGATGCCTGTAGTTTTTATTGCGCTATTTATATTATTCAATATTAATTATAATTAACTAAGTTATAGTAATCGTAAAAAATCGAGAATATAAATTATCATATCTTTGCCTTTCAAATGTTTCTAAACATGTATGTGTGTGTACGTATAGTTGGATACAAAATTACTTCCACGATTTCGGGCATACGGATCACCCGATTTGAGTGATTCAAAAAAAATCGGATTCTTATTAATAGAAAGACGTGCTTATTTTTTTTAACAAAGGCAGGCCCAGCCGTTTCGTAGTAAAAAAGTGCAAAAAATGACAGTTTACTTTTTGAGAATACGATGCGTAGGATTTGAATGATTCACTAAACATTTCACTTGTATTGATGAAATAAAAATTGATCAAATTTTTGGGAAGGCAAGTCCAACAGTTTCAGAAATTCAGAAACAGTTTTAAAAAATGTCATTATTGGCGGTTAAATTTTCAAAAACTTAAAAAAAATATAAATTGCGGTACTCCTTATTACGGTTAACTTATTTATATATTCAAAATATTAACATCTTATCATACAAATCGTTGAAGTATGAGACAAACTAGTTGAAAAATAATAACTTTACCAAAAAAACTCAAGTCCTTCGACCCACATTGTTGTCTTGAATATTTCAATCCGACCACGTGCGACCGTATTTCATAAAATTACTGCATGCATACGAATCACGAAAATGTCAGACAATTTGCAATAAATAAAACAACGGTATTTTGCAGAATAAAAATATAACTTATCTTGAAACTTCATTCAGTCTAGATTTACACAAATCACGAATTAAAAAAGTTTTACGTCCACCTTGACAATCGCCGGAACAAATCGCTGAAGAAATTTACTTAATTTAAATTAGTCAATAATTAACTTAACTGAATTAAATTAAAGTTCTGCGATTAATAGTTATATCTTCTATAATATTGATTGACGTAATTTCCATGTAACGGAAATTCTTTAAAATTGTAATTAAAGATTATCAATTAATGATAAAATATAATATACCACATATATAATAATATAATATAAAATATACCACAAACGGCATTGGCACTGTGAACGATATTAATCAAAGTAAAAACACACATACAAATTTTTGAAAATACATATTATTTTCTAATTTATTTGACATAGGGTAGAGCAGAACTTGAACGTCCGCGAGTGCCATTTTGTACAAAACAAGCGAAGTATAGAATTTTTCAAAGATGATATTTTTAAGTAGGGGGTAAAAGATGTGTAACCAGTCATCACCTCAATACTTACGACGTCGCTCAGAAAAAAGACGGAAATGCATCAATATTTATAACAAAAGTTTTTTATTTTTGTGCTCTATTTAATTTAGGATACCTGAATATAATTTTTAAGGACACGTTATTTTTTTTTTGTAAGATGTAATATTATTTTTAAATTAAATTCAACGTATTTTTTATACCTTTATTAAAGCTTACATGTGTGATGGGATAAAGAGGACGAACTAAACGTTTACATTTGCAAAAGTATGAACAATAAGTAAAAAAGTAAATAAAAACGTAAATTTTGTTAAAAAAAGCAATTTCACAAAAAATAAATTAAAAAAATAGTTATTTGACCTCTGCTGATAAAAATTTCTTTTGAAATACGTTATGATACGGAAAGTTCTAGCAATCTGCCTTAAGGCACGATGCTATACACTAAAAGTTTTCGATGTTGATTGGAAAATGATCAAATATATTCACTAATCTTATTAAGTAACAGTGATGGCACAATCGTCTATTTCTCGCAGTAAAACGAATAATACATCGCCGCTTATTAGCAATTATGTTCTATATTAAGTAGTTCATTAGATAGTGGTTCTATTGCACTAGTAGAGCGTTCTGAAATGAATTTCTCGACAGGTCATTTGCATATCATAAGCGCTGGCTAAACGGATACGCCCGGCCGGCGTATGAAAAACGAAGCTAGATGCATTTTCTCTCGTATATGAGATACCGTTACACCTAAATACTGTGCGGTTATGATAAAAACTTTTTGCTCCGATATCGAAACGAAACACAAATCACGCGCGTCCAAAACCTCTATGAATGATTCCGCACTTGCAAATTTGTATTAGGCCACCATTATATAAGGTAGGGCGGGGCTCGAAAATCCAATTTGAATTTAAGATAATTATACTGTCTAAAAAAAATAAATTACATCGAAACACACAATACGTGTCAAACATACAACTATCGAACTATGTCCAGTAAAATTGCCAGTTAATTCATAATTATAGAAATGTTTTTTTACTATTTTTCTAAAATTATCATCTGTCCCTTTTTACCCCATAGGCGGGGTGGTAAAATGGTCAGCCACGATGGGGCAAACAGATTCAATGTCTTATTTTTAATTTTAAAGGGATTTTACGAAATAATAGCTAAAATATTCAACCAATGCAAAATATAACTTTTATGGTTGCATTTTTTATAGAAATAACGCTGTGTGTAGCCATGTTCTAGTATTTTGTCAGAAATATTATTCAGAGTTGAAATAACTGTTCATTTAATTTATCTTTTGTAAATTTGCTCTTTTTCAGTCAATTTACTTCATTATTCACTATTTTTTATTGTTTACACCTATGCCAAGGTAAAGGTTCAGTTGGTCCACTTTACACCACTTGAAAGCTCTTATATAAGTTATATAAAAAAATAAAACAATACATCTTATAAAAGATAATAATAATATAAAAAAATTAAATAACGTATACTTAAGTTATATTAAGATCTCGTAAACTAAACAACAGTGCTCACAACTAAAAAAAACTAGCAACAAAAGAAAAAACCTTTGTTATGGATTTTCAAATAATGCCGTTTATCTCCTAATACGGTTGTCGAAAGAATCAACGTCATGGCTAGTTACACATCTTTTGCCCTCTGCTTTCAAATATAGTTGATTAAAAAATAACTAACCTTACTTGTTTATGAGATATCGGTGGTGAACCTTTTTACCCGCAGACCTTTGAGCCCGGCTCTATCTTACTTATATTACCAATTTTTTCGAAATTTCTCTATAACATTTAAAAAAAATCTGCTTTATTTACATAAGTATATTCTAATTATTTATTATTCTATTTTTTGTGTATACATTTCATTGCATAATCTTGAGTTCAATGTTGATTATCCATTAAGACTCTTAATTTAGGATTGTCTAATGATGGGCCTTAAGAGGGTATTCTAGTGTAAAAATTAAAAAAGTTTAACTATCTATGTTTATGGGTACGAGAAGGTTTTTGAAAATTTGAATTATTTTCGGAGATATAGGCATTTTACTGACTCGGTCTACAAACTGGTTTGGCTTCACGCAAAACTTTAATTATGCGTTTTTCTCAGAACAGACTTTTTCAGTACTGTTAACACGATTTCTCGAGTTGTACTCGACCGATTCACTTGAAATATTCAGAGAGTCTTGTTTATAGACATATTTTTAAAAAAATCGAGAAACTCAAAAAACAGTAAAAAAACACTTTTTCACTCATCGCTAGTTCGGGCGATTGCGACATCATTGTAGATTAATAATCTTTTTATTTTT